CACTTGGTAGTCCAGGCTGGCCTCGAACTCACAGAGATCCACCTGGCTCTGCCTCCCGAGTGCTGGGATTAAAGGCGTGCGCCACCACCGCCCGGCAAGGCGTTTTTGTTGTTAAGGTTTTATTTATTTTTTGAGAAAGAACTCCAAGTTAGGTGGTTAGGAAGCAGGAGAGGATCTGGAAGGATGTGAGGATGGGGAGGAATATGATAAAATATATTTAAAAATTTTAAATAATAAAAAATAAAATATATTTTTCCAAAAGCCTCAGGCACCAGAGCTGGTAAGCAGATGCATACACAACTGGATCTTCAGGGGAATGGAGCTACAGACCACATACAGATGCAGAAGCTGGAGAAGATATGATTGTTGGACAAAGAGGCAGGCTATAAAATTAGAGTTCAGCTTCAGGGGTATGGTGAGGTGAAATGTAGGACCAGATCTAGTAGAATTAATTGGCAGATTTATATGAATGGACAGTACATACAGATGGCCAAAGAAGAAGATGGAAGACAATTGAAATAGATGAAGTCAACAACAGAGTATAAGCCAAGCTGAAGTTCATGGTATAGTTAGGTGTTCTCTGCCTATCAACCCCTTGATGGGAGGTCAGATGAAGAATCAGTGGAGGTATCACCATCATAGTAGTAGGTGTCTACCTCTCTATGTAATGATGAGGGAGTTTTACCTTTTCCTCACTCTGGTATGTCTGTTAAGTTCTTGGGCCTAGATCCCAGGTATTCTTTCAATATATCCATGTGCTTCCACAATACCAATTTACTCTGGTAAATTTGCAGGATGGCATCCTTTGTACTTCCAGGAATAAGTCATTTATCAGTCTGGGCCATGTGAATTGTGCGCGACAGATGTTTCCTTTCATATGTACATCAAAGTGCCTTGTCATCTTCCATCTTCAAAAACGAAGTCTCTCTAAGGGCAAATACAGTCTGAAAAACAGTTATTACAGTATGGAGTAATTTATAGCCAAGAACATCCAAATCTCAGAACTACAGTATTTCCTGATAGTTCTCTGAACTGTCCTGTCAGATTCAGCTCCATCTCATAGTTACTTCCCACCTCATTCTTTGATTTGACTGTAATTGCCTGCCCTACTTTTTCATTTCCTAGTCACTTAAATTCATACTACTACTCCAAGAAACATTTAAACATTTTTGCAGACATAGCCAAATAACATCCTAACAATATTCAAATGTCTACAATATTATATTTGGCCAAAAACACCCCTTTCCTGCCCAGTGTTTGGTAAAACACATGAGAAAAGTAACTAATATTGGAAGGAAGGATGCCATTCATGTTGGCAGAGATGGCATGGTGGCAGGCAACTCTATAGCAGCAGGAGAATGTCTAGGCCTCGTCACCTTACACATGCACAAAACAGGAAACCAGAACTAGGGACAGACACTACACATCAAGGACTGCCTCCAGTGACTCATCTTCTTCAGCAATGTTCCACCTCTGAAATGTTCCACAGCTTCCCAAAACAGTAGCACCAGCTGGGGACCAAGCATTCAAATATGTGTGTCTGTGGGGATATTTCACATTCAAACCATAATGGGAAGGAAATTTTTATTTGGTTTACCTATGGTCACTTGACCCCAAAAACTTGTACAGAACATCCCGGTGCTATGCATATGGGGCAGGGAATGGATGTTCCCCTCATGATAGCCAGAAAGCAGAGAAATGACAAATATAGGTAGAAGTCGTCATTGCCCATGAAAGCAGGCCCCGACCACTTACTTCCCTCTGTCTTTTACCAGCTTCATCATATTAGAAATTTCTCAAGGAATTAATCTATTCATTGGGAAAGCACTCATGATCACAGATATATCCAGAGGTACATTTTGCTAATAATGTAGAGGTTTTCTAATCCAATCAAACTGATAATCAAAAGTAACCATTACCATTAATATTAACATCACTACTTGCCCTTTTTATATGTATTAAAAGATAGAATAAATATCTAAACAAATATAATATGAGACATCTATGCTTTCATTGGAAAGGGAAACAAATCTGTAGTGATTTAAAACAAACAATGAATTATGGCTTTTTGTTATATACTCTGTAAGTACTACAAAGCATCAGAATAAAATCAATCTTTTTAAAATTTTTTATTAATTCTTTGTAGATTTCTCATCACTCATCCGAATCCGACTCATCTCCCTGTCTCCTCATTTCTGCCTTTTGCCCTTGCAACCTCTCTGCCAAAACAAAATTTAAATGTTAAAACAAACAAAACACAAAAGAATACAAAAACAAACAAAATATCAGCGTGAAAGCTATAGTGTGGCCCAATGAGTCACACAGTACACCCATTAGTCCATACATCTTTATGACAGGGGAATGTCCTTTGTATGTTGTGAATATGAGTTGCTCTGATTGGTTGACAAATAAAGCCGTTTTGCCTATGGGAAGGCAGCTTAATGGCAGGCGGGAAATTCAAAGAGAGAGACAGGAAGAAGGCTGGGAGAGATGTCAGCGAGCCGCCAAAAGGAGCAACATGTAATGGGACTCAGGTAAAGCCTCGGAACATGTGGCAATACATAGATTAATAGTTATGGGCTAATTTAAGATATAAGAGCTAGCTAGCAAAAGGCTTGAGCCATGGCCATGCAGTTATAATTAATACAAGCCTCTATGTGTTTACCTGGGGGATGCAGTAGGAGACAGTTGTCCCAACCACCTGAAGGCCAGCACACAGGAAATATTCTGGCTACATCTTTACTTGGAAACGTTTATTGCAATGAGTCATTGTTTTGGTTTGAGGCCTCTGGCTTCTGCTACACTATTAATACCGGGCCCACACTGGGACTTCTCTTAGATAGCCTATTGTTGTCCTGTGTCATGGAGGTCCTGTAGCTTTGGACCTGCAGGTCTGGCCCCTTCATGTGCTCCAGCAGTTCACAGATAAGGTGGGTGTTGGGGTTGGCTACCTCATAGTCCTGGTCTGGGCCTGGGTGGTAGCTGGATTGTTTAGCCTGCCAGCTTTCCCTCATCATCACTACCCAGATGAGCTCTCTAGCACTGCCCCAGCTAGCTCACCCCGTGTAGCAGACAGCAAGGACTGGGGCCAGTTCTGCTTTCACCTGCACTCAAAAAACTTTAACTTTATAAATCCCACAGCTTTTAAGAGTTTCAGCATTTTAACTCCAAGTTCTCTCTTTAAAATCTAATTCTTTAAAAGTGCAAAACTTCTGAGTTTTTCTTTGTTTAGTATGTTTCCGGGGGGGCGTGTTGTCATATAATGCATTTATTAATTGTAGTATTCTCTCTGTACTCCTAGATTCTCCATGACTTATTTCATGGATGAAAGGATGAATGGCGCTGGTTGGTCGGTGGAAAAGTCACGGCCATGGCTACCAGAGTTAGAATGGGCTCTATTAGAAAGAAGAGGGGAAAGGAGGGAGAAGCCAGGCCTGGCGGGGCAGAGCAGACAGCAGGGAGGAAACAGAAAAGAGCAGGATCCTAACAATGGAGATGTGTTCTGTTTAGTCAAAGACCTTTTCTGAAAAAAAAAAAAAATGATGTAGTTTCTGTCCTTATGTCCATTTATGTTCTGGGTTGTATTTATTGAGTTACATATGTTGAACTAGCTCTGCCTTATGATCAAGTAGGCTTCATCTCTAAAAGGCCAATCTCTTGAAGTTGGTTTGCTAGTATTTTATTGAGAATATTTGTATCTAACTTCATCAAAGGGATAGCCCTGTAATTATTTTCTTCAAAGCTTTGGTTTTGGTATCAGAGTAATTTTATCTTTATGAGAAGATTTTATAACTGTTCTTTCCTGTTTGACTTTTAAGTAGTAATTTGAGAAATATTGATGCTGGTTCCTTGAAGGTCTGCTAGAATTCAGTGCTATTTCATTTATCACTGTGCTCTTTATTACTGTTTCAACCAGTTGCCTGTTATGTATATATTTATTTTTTTTATTTTATCTTGATTTAATTTGGGCAAGTCATACATTATTTCAGATTTTTCCAGTTTAGTGAAATCTAGGTTTTTAAAGTACTTAGGATTTTCTGAATTTCCTCAGGATCTATTATAATGTTTCCCTTTTCATATCCAAGTTCATTAATCTGGGCCCTTTCTTTCTTTGTTAAGACCTGTTTTGTGTCTTAATACAGTATCCATATTGGAGAAAGCTCTATGAGGTGTGAGAAGAAACTGTATTCTTTAGAATCAAGATGATATATTTTGTAAATTATCTGTTAGATCCATTTGATTTATAGTGTCATTTAACTCCAGAGTTTGTCTGTTTTTTGTCTGGGTGACTAGAGTATTGATGAAAAGTGGTGTATTAAAATAATCCACTGTCACCGTGGTGGAGTCAATCTATGGTTTTAAATTTAATAGTGTTTCTTATATAAAATAGGTAACCATATTTAATATTCAAACATTTATAAATGTAATACTTTGTTGGTATATTTTTCCTTTAATGAGTATAAAATGTCCTCTATCTCTTCTGACTAGTTTTGATTGAAATTTGTTTTGTCAGACATTAGAATGGCATGCTTGCTTGTTTTGGGTTATTTTCTTAGAATACCCTCTTTCCATTATTTTACTCTCAGGTGATATCTGTCATTAATGATGAAGTGTATTTCTTGGAAGCAGCAAAAATATAGATTCTGTTTTCAAGTCAAATCTAATCACTGTTAGTCTGTATCTTTTTGTTGTATAATTGAGACTATCAATATTGAGAAAATGTCTCTTTGTCCTTGCTATTTTGTTGCTGTGGTTTTGTTTTCTTTGATTAACATTTCTGCAATTGTCTATTTACTCCTTGTGCCATCTTAGGTATGCTTAATCTTCTCTTCTGAGAAAAATATTCATTTTAGTATGATGACAGTACAATATTATGATAAAAATATATCTTACATTCTAAGGGAATGGAATTATTAATGGACCTCACAACCAGTATTAATAATGCATCTTGAGGTCACTTTAAGATTGCTAATTTATTATGATAACTTAAGTGAAAATGCCCCCTATTAATTCATAGCTAGAGTAGCTAGAGTTTTCCTGCCTTGCCCACAGTCAGGACAAATCTTTGTCATCCGCCAGTCCCACAGCCGCTCTGACCCAACCAAGTAAACACAGAGACTTATATTGCTTACAAACTGTATGGCCATGGCAGGCTTCTTGCTAACTGTTCTTATAGCTTAAATTAATCCATTTCCATAAATCTATACCTTGCCACGTGGCTTGTGGCTTACCGGTGTCTTCACATGCAGCTTGTCATGGCGGCAGCTGGCAGTGTCTCTCTACCTCAGCCTTCCGCTTCCCAGAATTCTCCTCTCTCCCTGTCCCACCTACTTCCTGCCTGGCCACTGGCCAATCAGTGTTTTATTTATTGACCAATCAGAGAAATTTGATATACAGACCATCTCACAGCAATGTTTGAATACTTTGTCCTCAGTATTTAATCTGGAGGATTAAAAGGTATCTCCTTCTTGAATGAGGTATGTCACTAAGGCCAGACTTCAAAGTTTAAAAACCCACACCATTCTCCAGTTAGCTTTCTCTGTTCCATGTGTATGGATCAAGATGTAAGCTCTTAGCTGCTACTCCAGCACCATGTCTACCTGCCTGCTGCCAAGCTTTTTTCCATGATGATCAGGAACCCTAACCTTCTCTGGAACTATGATCCCCAAGTTAAATGCTTTATTTCGTAACTTGCTTTCCTCGTGGTGCTTTATCACAGCAACAGAATAGTAACTAAGACACCTTACTATGTATTAAGCTATTTGCTTAACCTGCCTTTGAGAGAATAATGTAATAATCAACCTTACTTGCCTTAGCTTTCCATGTAATGAGCTTTTAAAGGCTAAGCTAATGGATAATTTTAATCTTAAATTATGTACTCTTCATGCCCCGACCCAGAATAATGCATGTCTATTCTAACAATCATTTGCTGAAAGCAGCAAAAACAGAAGCAATGAGCAATCTTATAAAATGAATACCCATCATAAATGTTGAAGACAATATATGGATATTGCTTAATAAGCAATGATGTTTGTAGTACTATTTGTTATCTGAGTCAGTGAGCTCAGCCAGAGTCAGTGACTCAATCCTTTATAAAACTCTGGTAAATATTTCTACAAAGTAACAATCATACCTTCCCCCATGATGCTTTCTGTATATTTGAATAAAGACAAAGGAAAACCCTTTATCAGGAACAGGCAGATAAGATACACATGGACAGACACAGACATAGAAAAAGACTCACGAGACAACCTTCATGAAGGCACAGATTCAGACTCATGCAACAGACAGATAAAGGATATACAACACAGCGAGAATGAAGTACAGAATTCAAATCTGGACTTGCTCTTGGTTGAATGTTACCAAGAAGTGATTTTGTTTCTTTCCTTAATACAACACTGATGCATTATTGTTAAGTTGGAATTTCCTATCAATGTGTTCAAACTAACCACATCTTGGTGACCTGAATGAGGAACCATAAATGTACTTAATCCATATGTAGTACACTATGTAGAGCTAGTTTATTGGAAATAAATTTCATAAATCTCTTTTTATCATGGGAAAATTTTCTTTCTTTTTTGATTACAACTGATACATTTTGTTGGGTATAATATAGAATATTATCTATCTGGCATCTGTGATCTTTCACAACTTGCTGAACATCAATTCAGGCCCTTCCAGCTTTCAGTCTTCATTGAAAAATCAGGCATTATTATGATCAGCCTGCTTTTATATTACTTGATATTTCTCTCTTGGAGCTTTCAATACCCATTCTCTGTTCTATATACTTAATGTTTTGATAATTATATCATGGGGAATTTTGTTTCTGAAATCTTTTTGTTTGGAAATCTATTTGGTATGCCTTTTGCACCCTGGTAGGCACCTTTTTGCT